GCATCAGCATCATCATCATCATCAGCATCATCAGCATCATCATCATCATCAACATCAGCATCAGCATCAGCATCAGTATCAGCATCAGCATCAGCATCAGCATCAGCATCATCAGCATCAGCATCAGCATCAGCATCAGCATCAGCATCATCATCATCATCATCATCATCATCATCATCATCATCATCATCATCATCATCATCCTCGTCGTCGGCCTCCTCCTCCTCCTCCTCCTACTACTCCGCCTCCTCCTCCTCCTCCTCCTGGTCCTCCTCCTCCTCCCGTGTCCTTCCCCTCCTCCTCCTCCTCCTGCTGCTCCTCCTCATCTTCCTCCTCCTCCGCCTCCTCCTCCTCATCTTCCTCCTCCTCCGCCTTATCCTCTTCCTCCTCGTCCTCCTCTGTCGGGATGAGTCTGGGCTGGGCGGAGCTGGGGCTGTGGCCGGGCTGGGGTGGGTGGGCTGGGCGGGCGTGGGTTTGGCTTGATCCCTCCCCCCCTTCCCCGCTTCTCTTCTGCCGCTCTCGACTCCCTCTTCCCCTCGGGACGAGGGGTCTCGAAAGCTGGCTGGATCGGAAGCCCGGGCGAGGGACGGGGGTGCTAGGACTGGGGTCTGTCTGTCTACGCGCCGCGTCTTGTTCCCCATTCTTGCTGCCCTCAGCCTGTCCCCGGCCCTCGCCCGCTGGACATCTCTGAGTCGCGGTGATGGCGAGGAGCAATGACGGCACCGAGGCACAGTCTCACCCCCCACTCTCTCATCCCTTCCTCTCCTCTCTCCCTCCCTCCCCCGCCCTCCCTCCCTCCCTCCAGGTCCCTGCGGGTCTGGGCTGGGCTGGGCTGGGCTGGGCTGGACCGAGGCGTCTGGGAGCCATCCTCGCTGCCAGGGTACCTAAGGACAGGGATCGGCCCAACTCTCTTGCGACGGCGAACCCCCTGGGGCCTGGGGCCCAGGTGGCGCCCTGGGCGGGGCCTGGGTCCAAGGCCCAAGGGGCCACCTCCATAGAATTGCGCCCTTTTCTTTGCTCTGATGCCCCCCCCCCCCGCCGGTGGTTCCAGGGCCCGGGAGGCGCCCGGGGGCCCGAAGCGAGTCCAGGGACCATCCTTCTGGGAGTCCACGGGCTGCCCGTGGACTCCCCGTGGGGGGGGCCCGTGGACCCACGTCGGGGGCCTCTTCGGGGCGTTGTTCTCCCTTCCTCCCGCAGTCCCTTCCAAAATCATTACTTTGCCGAAGGTTTTTGTTTAAAGGATTTTGGCATTCGCTTCTTCTCGGCTTTCCGACGACCCAAGACGGCCCAAAAGGCCCCCAAGATCGCCCCCACAGCGCCAAAGAGGCGTCCAAGATGGCTCCCGCACTCCCTCTCCGAGGGCCGGGCCGGGATGGCCTGGGAGGGGCCGTGCTCCCTTCTCCCCTCCCTTCCTCCCTCCCCTCGTCTGTTGTGATGGGCCTGGGCTGGGCGGAGGTGGGGCTGCCGCTGGGGCGGGTGGGCTGGGCGGGCGCGGGCTTAGCTTGATCCCTCTCCCCCCCCCCTCCCACTCTTTTGTCCTTCCGCTCTCGACTCCCTCTCCCCCATCGGGATGGGGGGTCTCGAGAGCTGGGAGAGACGGAAGCCTGGGCCAGGGACGGGGGTGCTGGGACTGGGGTAACTTCGTATCGCCGCTCTGACCTTTATGACCTCAAGGCGCCCGTTGCCACCACGCGATGTTCCTCCCTTCCTCCCTCCTGGTCCTCGTTGGGCTTGGCTCGGCCTGGGCTGGAATGGACAGCCGCTTTCCGTAGCCATCCGTCTCCACCCGAGCTTCCGTAGCCCCTCGCCCTTGACCCCATGATTGCAGCCCTCGATGGGCTCCGGGGGCGAGCGCCACGCTCCAGGGGCTCGGGCCCGCGTGACGACAATACCGCGGACACCCCGCTGGCTTACTGGTGGGGCGAGCTGCACGCGGGATCCTCGCGCCTACTCGGATCTGAGGGAGTTCCCCGGGCCTGCTCGAGCTGAACGCCTGAGACATGTGGGAGCCTCCCGGGGACCGTGGGTGTCTATATCGGTGAACGTGGACACCCACCACTATTAAGCTGGGCTCGTCGCCAGTGTTGCAGCTGTTCTGGGGTCCCTCACGCACAACTTCACTTTCCACGTACCTGCAGCATGCGAGCGGACTGAAGCCATGCGGCAGGCCTGCTGGCGCGCTCGCCAAGCGGACGCTCCGCCTGAGCGGGAGGCCAGCACAAGGGCGATACTGAGCTCGCGACCAGGGGGAGGGCCTTCCCCTCTTCTCCATCGCTATCGCTTCTGGGGCCAAGGAACGGCTCCTCCTCCGTGGACCTAGGAGAAGCGCGGGGCCAGGTTCAGTCGGGCGTTCCTCGGTCCGCCTCCTGTCCTCCCCCTCCTCTTCCTCTAGCCTCGCAGGTGGTGCCTTCCCCTCCCCTGAGCGGACGTTGCGGGGTCGCGGCAATCGCCATCATTCGGCCCTGCTGCCCTCTTCTACAGGGGCCGTGCCTGCGCCCCCACAATGCCGCCTCGCCTGAAGGACACCAACCATCCGACCAACTCTTCCTCCTCCGCCTCGTCTTCCTCCTCCTCCCACTCATCATCCCCTTCCTTCTCGTCCTCTTCCTCATCCTCCTTCTCCGCCCTCATCCGCCTCCGCATCCGCCTCCTCCTCCTCCTCCTTCAATTCCACATCCCCCTCCGCCGCTTCCGTCTCCGCCTGCTCATGTCTCCTCATCCTCATCATCCGCCTGATCTTCCTCATCCTCTCCCTCCTCCTCCTCCTCCTCTTATTCTTCTTCTTATTATTTTTCTTCTTATTCTTCTTCTTCTTCCTCCTCCTCCTCCTCCTCCTCCTCCTCCTCCTCCTCCTCCTCCTCCCTCCCTCCTCCTCCTCCTCCTCCTCCTCTCTCCTCCTCCTCCTCCTCCTCCTCCTCCTCCTCCTGCTCTCAGCTCCTCTCCCTCCCCTCTACCTCCTCCTCCTCCTCCTCCTCCTCCTCTCCTCCTCCTCCTCCTCCTCCTCCTCCTCCTCCTCCTCCTCCTTCTTCCTACAGCCCTGAAGACGAGCGTCTGAAGTGTCCACGTCATGCATAGAGAGCGCAACCGACTCTCGCCCGCAGGATCTGGAAACAATAACACTCGCCCGAAGGATCGAGTGACAAAATGAGACAACGATGCAGCCATGACATGAAGCGCAACCCCAACAGGCGTGGGGGCGCAATAGGAACGGCACTCGAAAGGCACTAGAATTGATGCATTGGGCAAGCCAAGAGACAGCTACTGAGCGCCACTCACTGGCATGCGATCTCAGGGTTCCTGGCGGCCATGTAGCAGTACATCTTGTCGAAGGCGGTCTTGTCTGTGAAAAGAGGCAGGAAAAAGGCGGCTACTCCGGGCTGCCCTTCTTTGGCAGCAAGGTCGCACAACAGCTGGAACACCTGGTCATTGGCAACTGGGTCCCGATGTTGGTACTCGAAGGCAGCCGTCTGGAACGCAATGCCGAGAGACTTCTTTGTGTGGGAGCCAATGGGCTCGAGACAATCTGCCTTGACGCGAATGGCCTCAGCACCCATCTTGAAGGCCCAGCGGCCAGCAGCATCGTCGTAGAAGCCCAGGGTACCTTCGCGCCCGTTCAGCATTGGCCTGGCCTTGAGGCCGACAAGGCGCGCGGCCATGCCCGGAGCGAATTTGTGCTTCTCGCCGCGCTGCTGGAACTCCTCGGCCTCTCCGTGCCGCTGGGGCTTCACCACGTCAGCATTGGTCTCTTCCGTGGCACAGCGCTCGCTCTCCATCTCCAAAGAGCACGAGCCAGCGGCGCCACCTTCGCCAGGCGGCTGCTCGCTGGACGACTCCCCCTCCTCGTTCGCCAGGACTGCTCCGACGGACTCGGCGTGCATCTGGCGATCAGGGCCTTCCTCCGTCGCAGGGCGCGCGGCCCGCGGCGCAGCGGAGAAGCCCTCGAAGCGGACCGGGGAGGGTTTCACGACAAAGCGGATGTGGGACTCGCCTTTGGAATTCTTGCGCCCGTGGTCCACAACGACAGCGTTGTCGATATCCATGTACATCATCTGGATCAAGCTGGTCATGAGGCTGTTCCGCATAGTCGGCGCCCAGGTGGGGAACAGACAGACCTGCACGATGAGCTTGTCCGTGTGCGTGTACATCTTGACGACGCCTTGACGGCCGTTCTCCAGCTCCTGGATGATCCAATGGAGCCTGGCTGCCGAGACCATGGCGGCGCGGAGGGGCAAGGGGGGAGACAGAAACCTGCAAGTGCAAGCCGATGGCCCCTCCTCAGGCAGACGCCTGAGCTACAGGGGCTTCCTCCTCCTCCTCCTCCTCCTCATCATCATCATCATCATCATCATCATCATCATCATCATCATCATCATCATCATCATCATCATCATCATCATCATCATCATCATCATCATCATCCTTATCCTCCTCCTCCTCCTCCTCCTCCCCCTCCTCCTCCTACTCTTCCTCCGCCTCCTCGTCCTCCTCCCACCCACCCCCCCGCCCCTTTTGCCCACTCCCCCTCCTTCATTCCCAACGATCGCGCAGGAGAGGAGCCGAGGTCCCTCCAGACTCCCGAATGGACCCTCCACCCTGGCGAGCGGGTGGGGCGCGCGACTGGGGCGGGCGGGCGGGCGGCGGCGCCCGCGGGCGTGCGCCCGACGTGAGCCCTGGACCTGTCGGGCGCGCTGGATGCGTGGGGGTGGGAGGAGGGGGAGAGAGGAGGAGGAGGAGGAGGAGGAGGAGGAGGAGGAGGAGGAGGGAGGAGGAGGAGGAGGAGGAGGAGGAGGAGGAGGAGGAGGAGAAGGAGGAGGAGAGGAGGAGGAGGAGGAGAGGAGGAGGAGAGAGGAGGAGGAGGAGGCGGGGGAGGAGGCGCAGGAGGAGGAGGGGGGGGAGGAGAAGGAAGAGAAGGAGGAGGAGGAGGAGGAGGAGGAGGAGGAGGACGGCAGAGGGAAGAGAAGCCGCGCCCTGGCTCAGCCCGAACGGGTGCGGATGTCTCAGCGCAAACCGTGGGGCGGAGCTCCACCCGCCCCCGACTCGGTAATTTGACTGGCTGTTTCGGCGCGGAGGGGGGTGGACCGACCTCATCCTCCTCATCGCACCTCCTCCGTTTCCTCATCCTTCTCCTGCTCCTCGTCCTCCTCCTCCCCTCCCCCCACCCCCAAACCACCGCCCTCCTCCTCCTCCTCTCCTCCTCCTCCTCCTCCTCCTCCTCCCTCCTCCTCCTCGTCATCCTCCTCCCTGCTGCTCCTGCTGCTCCTTCTGCTCCTGCTCCTCATTATCATCATCCACCTCCTCCTCCTCCTCCTCCTCCTGCTCCCCTCCTCCTGCTCCTCCTCCTCCTCCCTCCTCCTCCTCCTCCTCCTCCTCCTCCTCCTCCTCCTCCTCCTCCTCCTCCTCCTCCTCTGCCTCCTCCTCCACCTCTCCTCACACGCGAGGGCGGGTGCTGCCCTGCCCGTAGGCCCCATGCGCGGGAAGGCTGGTGCAGGCTGGGCCCCGAACGTCTCGTGGCGTCTGCTCCCGCAGCGCACGCAGAGACAACCAGCTGGGCCGACCTGAATGTTTATTTGCCACCCTGCTTCAACTCAGAGAAGTGGTCACCCCAGACACCGGCCCTACAGCTCGACCGATCGATCCTCGATCCTTCTCCTCCTCCTCCTCCTCCTCCTCCTCCTCCTTCTCCTCCTCGTCATCCTCGTCATCCTCCTCATCCTCTTCCTATGTGAGAACGCGTTGCTTGGACGCTGGCCTTGGAACAAAACATCTGAGCACGTAGAATGGGGGGAGGGGGTGGGGAAAGATTGAGCATGCCCAAGAAACTGGGGGGAGGGGGGGGGGGCGGACGTCGGCGTCCACAACCGGCCCCCCCCCTCCCCTCCAAGAGGGGGAGGGGTGGGGGGTTCGAGCTGCCCCCCCCGTCCAAGAGAGGGCGGTGGGGAGCTCGAACCTGGCCCACCCCGCCCGAGTTGCAAGGGGGGGGGTGTTCGAAGCGGGGGGGGGGCCCTGGCCCAGTGTGCAGCTGACTCGCCAGAGGCGTCGGTAACCTATCGCTCTGGCTTTCCACGCCTCTCCCGCTCGCCCCCATGGGCGCGTCGCCAAAGTCTCCAAATATTGCCCGTGAGGCGCCCAACGCGGCCCAAGACGGCCCCAAGAAAGCCCAAGAGGGCCCCAGGCAGCCTCAAGATGACCCATGAGGGGCCCCAGACGGCCCCGAAAGAGGCCCAAGGGGACTCAAGACAGCCCTGGCCGCCCCCAAAAAAGCCCCGATGAGACCTCTAGACAGCCTAAACCAATTAAGAGCACGTGGCTCGACCTAGATCTTCTGATGCGGCTTGCCTGCCAAGCGCTTCGGCTCAAATTGGTTCCTACATAGGCGCGGAAGGCCTGAATAACGCCGAGGTCCCCAAGAAGACCACATAATGGTCCTAAGACGGTCGAGGGCAGTCCCAAGAGCGAAGGCGCGACAGACCCCCAACGGCAGCCCAAGACTTGCCCGCAAGACGACGACGAGGCCCAGAGACAGCGCAACAGAGCCCAAGACGGCCCACGACTCTGCAAAAGAGGAGCCCAAGACGGCCCCGAGTTGAAGCCCGAGACTGCTCCATAGCGAGGTTGAGGAAGACCAGAGACGCCCATAGGCCATGCAACAAAGCCCTTGGACTCGCCAAAACGCCAAACTGGAGGCCCCCGAGAGCACCCGCTTTTCGGCAACGCGGTGCAGCCATGCCTCGCCGAAGGAGTGTTCGATCCGCCGCCCCCTGTGTCCCAAGACTTTCGGCACATGCCGCCGCCAGCATCCGTCATCGCCAAGATTGCTCAAAGACCGCAACATTCAGCCAAGATGATCTTGAAGGCTCCCGGCGCAATCCAGCAAGACTCCCTGACGGCGCGCGAGGGCCCCCGAGTGCGCTAGGATGGCAAAAGGGCTCCACCACGCCTCGCACATACCCCAAGAGTGCCCAGCCCCAAGACGGCCAAAACCATTCAAGAACCTGGCGATCCCCCGAGCACTGCCCTCGCGCAGGGGGCCACGGGATCCGCCCGCCTGGCGGCGGCGCCCAGGAGGGGGCGGAGGGGGGGAGGCGGCCTTCTGAGCAGATGGGGCCCACGAGCGGCGAACCTATCCGTATCCACGCCCTCGCGGTCTGCATTCCGGGGCTCGATCCCGCGGATGCGCGGTCGCACGGATCTACTTCCGCGCGGGGCATCCGCGACGGATCGCCCCGTATCCGCGGGGTCGCGGCCTAGGGGACCGGCCCGCGAGGCCGCGGATGCGGAGATGTGTTTCGCCCACCAGGGGTGGCTGCTTCGAAGAGGTCGGAGCCTGAGAACCCCTTCGGCCCGCGCAGCGCCTGTGAGGGGCGGCGGAGCTTCCTAGGAGACTGCCGCCCCTCCATGTGCGCCGCCACTTCTTGAGATGCAGGACTGGATGGTCAGACGGGAGAGCGCGTTCCAAATTCACCAGCTGCACGCCGTGTGGTCCGCTCTGGGTGACAACAG